CCTCTTGTTTGGAAATGGAAATATGGTCACCCTACATTAAACAAACTGTCCACCCGGGCTTTTACACTGCACAGAGACGCTTCGCTGCCTACGACTGAACGTCAGTTGAGTCAGTCTCATGCAGACTGACCAGTGAAGAGAGGGCCTCAAGTTAAGACCCTCTCCTCATTGGCCAGTCCACACGAGGTGGGTCAAAGGTTACTCTGGGCGGGTTAAGTGTTGTCAGGCATTCAAGTATTGAGTATATTTACTGCATATTACAGTAAAATATTCTGTATGTGACCACATTATGGTGATCCTTGGGTCGTGATGATGGAGCCCTTGAATATTGTTGCCCAGGGTACAACAAAGTGTTAATCTGGCCCTGGTTCCGCCGTCACATTCCCACAGAAACTGGTTGATCACACCGGGGCCAGACTACTAGCATGTGGTTTTACAACCACAATGTCCTCAGAAGCAAAAACGCTTTTAAAAGGGAGGGAGGAGTCCTAACTGTTGCTGCAGGCGTGTTGTGTGAGAGTGCAGTTATATACTGGTTAATATATTTTTGGGTTCAGTTGCTTTCATGTGGCCTAATGTGAGTCTATTTGGGATCATTGGAATGATCAGCAGCATTTCTTGATGTGACTTTATGGCAGTTGCCCAGGGCATCATCGCAAGGAGGATGGCATTCATTTACTTTTGTTTTATTTGGTATTTTTTCAGTCATTTTTGGAAATAGTGATCAATTTTGATTAATTCACAGCCTATGTTTAATTACATTTAAAATAAATGTCAACAGATGAGATCAAACAAAACAGATGAGAATTGCCCTTAAGCTGTTTAACTTGGACCAAGCATTTTAGGTCACAGATAGATGTAGCTTAGGGTCTCTGTCTATACACCTTATAAGACAATTTAGGTGATGGCATGTTGTTTTTCTGCTATTGAACTGTTTTCTAATAATGTTGTGTTAAATAAAGTGAAGGAAGGAGAGAAATAACGTTTCCCTAGCAGTTTTTAAAAATTTCCCCATGTAATCCGATTAATCGATTAATCGTGTCGAGACCCCATCCGATTAATCAATTATCCAAATAATCGTTTGTTGCAGCCCTAGTTCCACCCATCCTAAGGGTCTACGTAGGGGGCGGGCGTATTACGTGAATGGACCCATCTGATTGGCCGCATATCAGAAGGGCTACATTTGATTGGTCAAATAATACTTCCGCGTAAAAACCAGAGCTGGTTTACAAAAAGTTGATGTATGACACGGATGGAAATGTTGAACCAAACATTTATCGCCGTTTTTGACATCCTTGCGATGGGCCTATCGCACGTCCTGTTATCGCGATGACGATAATTTTTCGATATATTGTGCAGCCCTAAATGATCCTGAATTTTTCATTGTAGACATCTGATGTGACATGCTTCTCGCAAACCAGATGTTGATTATTTTTTTTATCCACAGGTGTTGTTGGTGAAATTCCCAGGGCAGCATCCGTGCGTCATGATATTGTGGCTAGCAGCAGTACTTTGTAGCAGCAGCGCTTTGTAGCAGCGGCGCCCTGCGGCAGCGGCGAGGCCTTGCAGCAGTGGCGCCCTGTCAATGTGTTTTTGTTTTTATGCAAAACAATTGTGATTAAAAAGTTTTATTTAATCGAGCATCTTGACCCCACCTCATGTTTCAGCTGTGCATTTCATTAGATAATCATTTGGTCTAGTTGAATCAAACAGAATTTATTTAATCATCCTTGACTTGTCATCAATTATTCAGATTTTTGTTCTCAGAAAAAGTAAAAAAAAAAAAAAAGTATTTTCTATCTTGAATGACAGCGACTCAAATCAGGAGTAATAAACAGCCACAACAGAGTCACATTGTACACTTCAGCATTCAGAAGCAGCTAATAAACCTCACCACTGTCCTTCAGGCCATTCTCCTCTATGGTTATCTGCTCGGCCAGCTCAGACAGCGACTCGTCAATCGTGTGGCTGCCTCGTAGAGTCTGAGTGAGACGCCGCTTGAATCTCTTCATCTTCTCCATGGAGCTGCCGGGACGGGGAGGCCTGAGGATGATAAAAATAAACAAATAAATAAATGTCATACATAAGAGAAGAAAACGGCTTGGGTTAGCTCCAGAGGAACTGACTCATGGTCTGTTCTATTGATGTCTGACTGAATAAAAACCACTTTCACCTGCCGCCATGTTTCACATCCCACACCACGAGTACTTAGATGGTTAGATCATCAGTGATCTGACAGACGGAACAATAAAAAGTATCAACTTTCAGATGTTAATCATGACTCAGCTCATCCAGACATCACTTTACATTCCTCCCTGGAGCTAAATGGTAAATGGTAAATGGCCTGTATTTGATATAGCGCCTTCTAGAGTCCTGGAACCCCCCAAGGTGCTTTACAACACAATCAGTCGTTCACCCATTCACACACACATTCACACACTGGTGGGGATGAGCTACAATGTAGCCACAGCTGCCCTGAGGCGCACTGACAGAAGCGAGGCTGCCGAGCACTGGCGCCACCAGTCCCTCTGACCACCACCAGCAGGCAACGTGGGTTAAGTGTCTTGCCCAAGGACACGACGACAGCGACAGACTGAGCAGGGCTTGAACCTGCTACCTTCCGATTACGAGGCGAGCACTTAACTCCTGTGCCACCGTCGCCCTCCCTGGAGCTGGTGAGCGATTCCTACGGAAGATTTTAGAGTGCATTTCCTGGTACTACGGACTTTAAAAGCAAATCCTAAACCAAGGGGATTAGCATCTGAATGGTGCAGGATGGGCCTGGGCTGCAGCTGGTAGAAATCGCACGTTGCTGCAGCGCGTGACAACGGGATGATAGTGGTAGCTAGAGACTGTACGCAGCTGTCCGAGGGCGAGCGAAACACGGAGAGATGGTGAGTGTGAAGAGAGAAAAAAAAAGATTAAAATCAGCACAGATTATCCAGATTATAGAAAGTCTCTGTGTGAGATCTGATGTGGAGCTCCATACTCTTCTGCAGATCTAGACATGTGTGTGTGTGATGCTGATGAGTAAGACCAGACACACACGCACAAACAATTGCACAAAGGAAAATCCCTCAGGGTTCATGTCTGTCAACGGCTGTCTTTTGACAGCTTTTTGGCATTTAAATACCCTCACAGCTGAAGTTTGCCACGAGAAGCAACAAACTCACTTCATTAATACGAAAGAAAGGAAGTGAGGTAGGGCTGGGCGACATGGCCTAAAATCATTATCACAATATAGTGAGGATTTCACCTCGATAACGATAAATGGACGATAACTAAAGGTATGCGCAGAAACAAAAGTTTTCCACTAGATGGGGATGTCACATTTTTATATGACTCAAGGTGGTGCA